TCCACAAGCTCGTTATGTTTTATGTCATTTTCTAACTATATTATTGAGAACAGTAAGCAACGAGCAGCTCATGCTGTTCAAGGTCTTTGCTGGGCCAACATCTAATGTGAAACCTCTTATGAGCAATACAATACAAAACAGTTGGGCACTGGTGTAATGTAAAAGATTACATGAAATTAAAATTGCAACTTTTCCGACTGACCTGTTTATAATCTGTATTGTTAATTCCAGACAGCCAGACCTTATTCATGCATTTAAAAACATGCCCTAGCTTACTGACGTGCAGTAATGCCAAAAGTGTCATAGAGGGGCATGAAAAACTTGGTGAAATGAGCACGTGTTTTGGGATGATGAATTGATGTTGTGTGTGTTTACATTTGTGGTCTGTCTGTGGAGGACAAAGGAGAGTGATGGATGATTCCAGCAGGACATTTGTGGTGGTGGCAGAGATGAGTCAGCCATGGACACAAGCACACATGCACATACACACACCTGCACGCTTTCACCAACAGGCTTTGCAGATGGCCTGAAGTACTCTGGTGACATCCTTGGCTGTTGCTGTTTGGGATTCTTATGCGAAGTGTTTGTCCTTGTGGGTTCATAGTCTGCTGCGTGCTGAGGCGTGTGTGTGTGTGTGTGTGTATTTGCCATTTTGCTGCAGCATCAGGCTGGTTGATTATGTGATAGATCACTATCAAGTCAAGAGACTCCTCAGTAATGCCTCCTGCTGTCACCGGCACACATAGATATTCTCTCCTACGACACTATTCTAGCAGAGGAGACTGCACACAGGCACTGTTGGTGGTGAAGTGGGTATTCTGCTGCTTTTCACATAGCTGAGCGGTTAATTTTAGCCGGCTGCAGTAATCACCAGAACTTTAACCCTCAAGTTGTCAGGAAAGGAAAGCTTAAGCTGAGGATTTTGTGCCTCAAAGCAATACTGGACATTCCTGCTGAGAGTGGGATGGGCGTGACGGATTTCTGCGAATAATTCCCATTAATATCACTCTTCCTCACTCGATTTTCTGGGTTAAGATTAAGCCTGAAGCAGCTAGGTTTGCTGTGTAGTAAGAAATTACCCTTCTGATATAAGACTCTTTATCATTTCTGCATCAGAACTCGTATAGCACTCTGAGTGGTGGTGTTTTGACTGCTTTTATGATTGCTTGCTTTTACGCTTTAATTTCCATAACCTTTTTACTTTTTTTTTTTTAGTTATATCATCTTATCATCCAGTTACTCTCTGCAAAAGCAACGAAACATGCTATTTAAATGCAAATATGTTTTATTGAATTGACATTTTCCATCAGAAAAGGTGTGACCCAAGCTCTACATCAATCAGTGGCTATTTCTCTCTCAAGTATACACAGGTGGGTTATGGGAACAACATACTACATATAATGATATTTTTATGAAACTGTATTGTCTACTGCAGCGGTCCCCAACCTTTTTTGCGCCACGGACCGGTGTATGCCCGACAATATTTTCACGGACCAGCCTTTAAGGTGTCGCGGATAAATACAACAAAATAAAACTAGTTCCGGTAAATAAAATTTATTCATAACACACGTGAAAAGACCCAGAAAAACCGAGTAAACGATAAAAACGATAACAAAATAACGCTGAAAACCGATTAAAAACCCTGAAAACTATACATTTCACACCTGAGCCTCAACTCTCGCGGCCCGGTACCAAACGACTCACGGACCGGTCCGAGGCCTGGGGGTTGGGGACCGCTGGTCTACTGCATAGAATAATCCTATAAGTTCATGCTGTGGCTTTACCCTACAATCTAAGCAATTACCTAATTGTAATTTTTCTAAGTGTGAGCGCCTCTCAAAGAGCAGACATTTTTGTAGTTTTCAAGTCTGGAGCGTTCAGATGTGTGTTAACGCAATGAATCTTCCAGGTGGTGGACGTCCCTGCAGGTTCACAGTCTACATTTCAGACTCTTAATGTGCTAACTGAGGCTTATAAGGTTAAAGTCCACAACAGTGCAATTAGAAAAAGACTGAACTTGTTCTTGTTTGGAAGCAAGATGGCCAGGAGGAAGCCTCTTCTCTCTACAAATAACGTGGCAGCAAAGTTTAGGTTTGCAAAGCTCCATCTGAAGAAACCACCAGACTTCTGGAACAATTCGATTTGGACAGATGAGACCAAAGTGAAGATGTTGGAACAAAATGTACAGTGTCACGTTTGGAGACAACCAAACACAACATATCAGCACAAACACATACTCATACCAGCTGTAGGCACAGTAATGGGGAAAGGGGGGAATTTGGCTTGTTTTGCAGCCACAGGACCTGAAGGGTGTACTAGGAAGGAAGTTCAGCACAGAGAAAAAAGACTTAAAAGATTAGAACCAAGTATAAAACATTTATAAATTTCTGCAACTAAATACATGCAAATTCCAGTAATAATGCAACACACAGTATGCACTTCTTTAACTTTACAGTGGGGCTTCATTTGATGGGTTTAGTAAGGTAGGGCTGAAAAGGTTACATTTATAAAACTTATTCCTACAGAAGTGAATCAGTATCTCTGCGGTATAAAAACATAACCTACTGTTGACAAGGATATGTATTCAGCACTTGTTACCACAGTGATTTATACAAGAAATAAAAGAAGCAATTTTTGTGACACAGAAAACTGAATTTAAACTTGACATAGTTCACTAACCTATTAATCTTTCTTTGTAGCACACCCTTCTAAGCTTCTCTGTATACTTGGGCAAAAGGATCATAAGCACAGCAGCAAATCTACAACAAAATGGCGAAAAAGAAAAGAATCGCGCTGATGCCGTGGCCCAATCAAAATCAAATGCTTGCAGCAGGACCTGAAGAAAGCTGTGCATAAACGAATGCCTGCAAATCTCAATGATCTGAAGCAACACCATGAAGAAGATTGGGGCAGGTTTCCTCCACAACCATGTGAGAGACTGATAAAGTCACACAGAAAACAATTGCTTTGAGGTATTACTGCTAAAGATGAAACTCTGTTTTCACATGACTGGAGCTAAGCTCTTTTTCACTGACTCTTTCAAGCTAGGCTGTTTAAACTGAATTAGCTCACTTACTGGTTGTAGTCTATGTTTAAGCAAAAGTATCTCCCACTTCATGGCAAGCTGCATATGTAAATATATTGAGTATACTAATGGAATATTTCATGACTCTGGCTATTAATGGGAAATACTCACAGTATTCTTAACAGTTATAGTGCCACAGAAGAGCTAAAAAAATGATCTATTTGAACATCACCTCAGGAAATGTTTTCCTTTTTGTTGTTTAAGTGATATGTTAACTGATTCTGGTTTGTAGCTCAACAGAAGTTACATTGAGGGATATCTTTAGTTTCTTTTTCAGGTTTCCACTGGTTAAAAAAATCATGCATGGTTGCATTGCAATATTTCACATATTAAAAGAGATACACTGTATTTTGCCAAGGATTAGTGAACCTTTAAATGTGTATTTTACTGTATACTGGACCTTCTATCAGCGCTATCCATTAAACTCAGGCTGGAGCCTGTCCCAGCAGTCATAGGGTGAGAAGCTGGATACACTTTGGGCCAACACAGAGTGACAGATATCTATTGACATGGACAACTACAGCCAGCCATTATCATCAGTTAACCCAACATGCATGCATGTGTTTGGGCTGTGGGAGGTAGTTTGAGTACCTGAAGGGAACCCATGCAGGCAGGGGTAAAATATGCACGTTGAAAAGCTTACGGTGGCCGGTGGATTTGAACGCCTCTTGCGGCATTTCCAATCACCACACCACTGTGCTGCCAAAGATAATATTAAAGTGCTGTTATTCTCATTATTAAAGAAGTTTGTATAATTCATAAGTACCTTGTTTTCATGTTGGATTTAATTGACTTAGAATAGCACAGGAATGTTGCACAGCCGGATTTAATCAAGTGAAAAATTGCTGCAATAGTAACCCACGCAATAAGTTGTCAGCCATGTTTAGCTCACTACACTGTCTTACCGTCACACAAACCGTACTTTTAATGAAATGTTGTAATTTATTGGATCCATGTATCCTCATATTTAGTATAAATATAAGCATGGATCCACATAGAACAAATTCTTACTCAAATATGCATCAGAATTTCTTCTTAGCACCACTTTATGCAATAATTATTGTCTACTAGTATTAAAACACATTTTCTTACCTGTTTATGTAAGAAGAAACATGGCTATCAGGTAGAAATTGTACAAGAGTGAGTGGATATTATTTTTTGTCAGACTCAGTGTAATGTGCGTTCTTTCTCATCATGGATCAAATGGCACAGCAGGGCTGCAGTGATGGAACATGTGGATGTCCTCAAGTGAAAAGAGGAGAGAGACCAGATGGGACCAAATAACCTGGCAGACTTGATCTGTCTCATTTCACGGGTTGTCATCTTCAAGAACGTGACAAACGCAGGCAGAGACAGGACCAGGAAAGCTGGTTTGTAGCTGCGTACGGTGGGAAGGATTTCTTCACATTTGATGCAGATGTTTACTTGGACTCGAGGATGACCTGGTTAGATTTAGGTCGTTAAAAGTCGAGCTCTCACTGATGTTACAAAACACTATTTTTGGACACGACTTGAGAATTATAAAGCAACCGATTCCAAAGGTTCTCAAAGTATCTAAAATGATGAATTAATGACAAAAGGTGAAAGGTCAACTTCACTGTGACATCATAAAGTTCTGAAATTATTATTTTTTTGTCTTTTCTGTTAGGCTACACCATAATTCAGTTCAGTTTATCCACATGTCCTGGTGCTTCTAGGCCTTTTGTGAAGAAGCCCCAGAGAGCATTATATAGAAAAAAAAACTGCAGCAGACAGAGTAAGCAGAACTGTCAGTCTATTTTTCTATTTGAAAAGAGCTACTTCATTCGTTGTCTACTGCTTTGTTGAAGATGTGTGTGTGAAAAGGATTCAAAATTTCAGCAGCCTCCTTTTTTTTTTTTTTTTTAAAGCTTTTTTGGCTTTTGTGTTCCTCTAATTCAGCTTTACTGGCTGAACAGAAATACACTTAATAACTGTCACAGGCAGCAGAGAACGAGAGCTAAGCGCTGGATACTGGAAGATAATTTCACAAGTTTATAATTCAAAGAACACACAGGAAAACTTGTAGCTAGGGATGTTCCAGCGACTGGGCAGGCAGATCTTCAGAGATGACCCAAAGTTTAGTCCACAGAATAAGATGTGCTGTAGGAGGAGGGACAGCAGCTTCAGTCACAGAAATGTGCACAATGGACAAATGGTGGCCTGATGATACATCACCAGAGATCGTGCAACAAACTGGCACGACTGAAGGATTTCCACAGCCTTAAGAACACGTGGAGAAACCTGAGTGATTAATCACAGGTGAGCCAATTGAAGATCTGCTGTCAGGTGTGTCTGATAAAGGCGAAGACAGGATGCGCCAACGAACCACATCAGAGACAGATAAACAACGAGCCAGAGAGAGAGCAAGGGCGGCAGGGCCACCCAGGAGGACAGAGGGACCTTGACAACAACTTTTAATATAAATTTCTTCAGTGTTAACCTTCTGATATCAGTCAGCATGCTTTATACAGTTTGTCAAAAAGCCCCTTAAGAGCTGCCAAAACACATCAGGTCCTGAGGACTGAGGTGTGGAATGAAGGTCAAAGTCTGCGTGGACTGAGTGGATGAAACGCTTCAGTGGCAGGTACTGAATACCACACTCACATCTTCTAATATTTATTGGTGCATCAGGATCATGGGCGGATATGAACACATCAGAAGGGCTCACTGACCTTTTAGCAAAAATTATTTTAAGTTGGTGAGTCTTATAAGTCTTATTGCCAAAAAAAAGACAAAAAATGGTGATGAAGTGATAATCAGTGACAATTTTTAAAAAATAATAATTATCACTAAATCAAAGCCTAACATCCCAAATTTATTTATGATCATGATCGCGCACACACACACACACACACACACACACACACACACACACACACACAAAATCACTTTCTTGCTGATACAGTGTATTAGGATATGTTCCCTTCCCTCACCGTGGCATATATGGAAAATGTTCTGTACATTCACTATCTGAAAAATAGCTATGTGCACCCAGAATAAATGGGCTGTCACCATACCAGCTTGGATACTGTCATCTTCGCAGCATAGTGCAAGGCTGAGAAATACGGGTGGGAACTAAATCAATCCATATTGCATGTTTTTTCCATACTTACTTTTGTATAGTCTTGGCTGCAACTTTTCGAAAGCATAAAATTAGTATTACAGATGGTAAGGATGAACTCTGTGAACTACAAAGATTTATTGAAATGAGTACGTGAGGTAAGGCTCGCATTAGGAATGCTGACGTCAAAAAAATATTATACAGAACTTATAAGAAAGTGAATCTCTATGTGATAGTGCAGTGGTTTATCTCTGAAGGCAGCTATGGTGTAGGCCCGAAGGCTCTGGGGGAAATCAGTGCATGCAAAGTCTGTGTCACAAAGTCATTGTCAGAAGTATTCCTCCTCCTATCTCTGACGTGCCCGTTCCCTCTGCCTCTCTCCTGCTTCAATCACACTAATCATTTTCCTTGTTAATTGCTTCTTTACCCCACAGTGTTGTCACGCCTGTGTGACAGCTCATTTTTTCCTGTGCTGTACCTGCTCCAATGTGCTCGTCCATATCTCGGTGTTTTTGTTCAAATGTAACAGTACAAAACGGTGGCTCATATAGCCAGTGTGCTTGGAAACTGATAGACAGTCCAGCACGCACTTATAGTTCATGTGCACTTAACTTGGACAGATGACACGCTATCAGTGAAACACTGGTAACTTTCATGTCATCACCGTATTGAGTAACAACATCTAGGGTGAAGACAAAGTCACTGCTAAGTGTTAGAGCTTGCTAAAAGTCATGTTAATGAGTAATGGGTTTACATTCCGGCTCCTTTAAAATTTGCATAAGACCTGGGACTCATTACAGCAATTAAGAAACATAGGGTATGTAATTTACTGTAATTATCATGTAGACTCACAGATATCTTTGCTAGGTATAAATGTTTAACTGCTTGTTAATGCAAATATCAATCACGTGCCTAAATGCACTGAGTTGCTGCCATGTTGACATGGTCAAGACGAGCTTGTGAAGTTCAAATCGAGCACCAGAATGGAGAAAGAAGGGGATTTAAGAGAATTTGAACGTGGAGGTTTGTGCCAGATGGGCTAGTTTGCTGGGATTTTCACAAACAACCATTTCCGGGTTTTATAGAGAGTAGTCCAAAAAGACAAAATATCCAGTGAGCAGCAATCCTCTGGTGAAGAGAAGCCAGTAGGAAGGCAACAGTCGCTTAACTAAGTAACTCAAGTAACCACTCATTACTACCAAGGTATGGACAAGAGCATCTCTGGACATACAACATACCTGAACATTGAAGCAGATGGGCTACGGGTGCCGCTCCTGTTAGCCAAGAACAGGAAACTGAGGCTACAATTCTCATGGGTTAACCAAAACTGGACAACAAAAGACATGTTCCCTGCTCTTATGAGCCTCGACTTTTGCTGTAACATTCTGATGCTTCGGTCAGCATGAAAACATGGATCCATCCTGCTTTGTGTCAGTGATTCAGGCCCTGCTGATGTAAGGGTGACTTAAAATCCCTCAGTGCCAGCTGAGCATTGTTTAAACACCACAGCCTACCTGAGTGTTGTTCCCAACAAATGTCCATTCCCACAGTGTATCCATCTGCTTCAATGTTGTGTTTCCAGCAGGATAACACACCACGTCGCAAAACTCAAATCATCTCAAACTGGTTTCTTGAACATGAGAGTGAGTTCATTGTACTCCAATGGCCTCCATAGTCACCATATCTCAATCCACCAGAGCACCTTTAGGATGTGGTGGATCGGGATAAGCAGCCAACAAATCCGCAGCTACTGTGTGATGCTATCATGTCAACATGGAACAAAATCTCAGACGAATGCTTTCAGCACTTTGTTGATTCTGTACAACAAAGAATTAAGGACATTTTGAAGAAACGAATGGGTCTAGTATGAGCAAGGTGTAACTAAATATTTTAATTCTACTCCGGCATTCAGTAAGCAACAGCTGCAATACTGCCTGAAGTAAGTTAATATCTAACTAATTATGTTCTATAATCCATGCAGCTCACCAGTCAGCAGTTTTACCTTAAGAGAGCAAGGGGTGCTTTTTATTCTGCAGGTATTTTACTGCGGTGGCGTCCCAGTCCTTCTCTAGACAATGAACAGAAATCCAGAGAAACACATGATCGAATGCTGAACACATCAATCAATTATTACCTGATACTGTTTATCACTAACTGTTACGAATCATTACTGCTACTGTTTATCAAGCAAATACAGGGACTATAAAAACGACACCACCCTGTCCACCCTGTATGTAGTCATTCATAATATTATAGAGATTGAAAAGTTCAAATATCAAGGTTACATTTTTAACAATTTAGCCAACACTGCTGGTCGAGTGTTTGAGCAGGTAACAGGTCAGTGTGTTGCCCAAAGACCTTGTCAGATCACATTAGGCGATATCTCGATTAAACCTGAGCGCTTTCAGTCGCACCAGGGCAAGTCGTCGCTTCCTTTTCCACAACAAACTCAGAAGATGGAGACGCATCAGCATCAACACCGCCTTAAGACTGGTTAAGGTGCAATGACACATTGGAAAACCTATGATGTGAACCTCTGCCCCGCAGCTAAACAAGACATCACTGTCATATCTCACCCATTTAATATATCACCCTTCTCTGCTTCTCTAGTCTCTTTTCACATGCCCTTAGTGCTTCTGAATTCTTCTGTCAGTCCACGCTTTGTTCTGTACAGCATTTTTCATAGATCTCCGGTGCACAGAATCAATTTAGGATAAGAGTTCTCTAGCGCTGGTGGAAAGGCATTGAAAAGATGGTCAGACAAGTACAGTTCAAAGCTGACAAGCTGTGTCTGGATACACATTAAAGCTTATTCAGTGCTTTCTACATCTCCTTGCCTTAGGGCATTGAAACAGAGGGGGAGAGTGACAGAGGGGGAGAAATATTCATGACTGGATGAGCATCAAGGAGAAATGGAGCAGGAATTAGAAAGGGGCTATAGCGGCAGTGCATTCCCTGTAGTGTAGGCCCTGTGCACGCCAGTAAAATGTCTTTAAAACCTTTGAATAATGAGTATTAATGAGTACTGATGCAATTTGTTACACATATAAGTGGTTAAGAAGATGGATGGGTATTCCATATGTGTCCCAGCAGATGTATCCAGGCTGGGCTGTATATATGCCACAACTCAATCACTTCGTGTTTGGGAGATGGGACTGTGCCTGTGTGACGTGTCGGGCAGGCTCAGGTCCAAACTGGCACACTGCCTGATGACTGTGACAGCTGCCAACAATGGTGCCCATAAGGGGATGTGGCATAGAGTGTGGACCTCAACAAAGCATAAGGCCATATATCAATCTTTTCACATTGTGTTAAAGTCCCAAAGCACATCTCCCTCACGGCCCACTATTGTTTTGGCAGAACACAGCTACAAATGAAAGTGTGAGGCTTTGCTAATTCGTTGGCAATTAAAGCACAAAGGAAGTCATTTTAATGCAAACTCCAGATATTTCTGACCGGTGAAATGTTTTTATTAGTCTTCCCTGACATCCTGAGAAAAGATTAGTGATCTGTGAGACACCACAGGACAGAATTCAACAGCAGCTATAGTTTTATAAGCTGCTGAATATACAGTATGGTGTCCGCATACTATAATTGCATTTTCTTGTCAGTCTGATTAGATAGAAAATCTTGCACTGTATGCATGATACTACATCTGCACGGTGAAGCATTTATCTCATGCTTCCCCACAGTCTGTAGAAAGTGATCCATCTTAGAGTCACTAGAACAGTCAGCCTGTCCCTAAATGTTACTACTACTACAGAAACATCTTAATATGTCGGCCTATCCTGTAGTTCATTTAATGACAACATTATCTTGTCATTTAATATTCTGTAAAAACTTCTTTTTTTTTTTCCTTTAACCTGCAGCTCGGCACCAGTTTGAATACTGACATAGCGTTTTATGAACACCATTTCTACCCAGCATGGAGAAATTCGGCGGCAGTGATCGCAGATTTGCAAAGTTTCCTTGTTTGCTCAACTTTGACATCAAATACATAAATTAGCATCTCAACAATGGTAAGCGGGTGGTGGCGGCGGCAGCAGCAGACCATCCAAAGCAACCGGTCATTTTTATGTTTGTATTCACATCAAACTTTTACAACACGTAATATAAAATCTTGCATAATTTGTCACAGTGAGCTGAATGCCAAACAACATGTGGGTGAATGCCTTCAGTTGTTTGCATTCACACATAACTTTGAGTTTTCCAGTCGACTAGAAATCAACGGTTGTGTGTCCTTGAGATGTTGTGAAGACTGACTGCATAACCAGCAGGATACATTTAAATTATTATTAGACTGGGGTGCTTTCTTTGTCCCTATAGAGGAAAAATTAACATGCGTGTCACAAACTCATTGCTTCCTTCGACATTTATTATACTTGCTGGTTATAGTCTAGTTCATCTTCTTGGTTATGTAATATTTAATTAGCTTGCGTGCTCGCTCCCTGTTCCCTCTATCTTGTCTCCATGTTTGTTTATCTTCTGTCCCAGTGCCAAGTTTGCATGTGTTACTCTGAGTC